AAATAGAAAAATTTTAAAGTAATAAAAAAAGACAAAAGAAGAAAGAAGAGAGCAACAAAACCAAAAAACAAATCCACCACTGATAACAAGTGCTAAAAACTATACTAAAAAAAAAAAAACCAACAGACAGAACCCTAGGACAAATGGTAAAAGCAAAGCTATACAGACAAAATCACACAAAGAAGCATAAACATACACACTCACAAAAAGAGAAAAAGGAAAAAAATATATATAGAAAGGAGGAAGAGAGCAACTAAATCAATAAACCAATCTACCAATGATAATAAACTCTAAATACTAAACGAAGATAAACCTAAAGCCAGGAACAAATTAGATGCAGGAAGCAAACCCCAAGTCTACAGTTGCTCCCAGAGTCCACCATCTCAATTTTGGGATGATTCGCTGTCTATTCAGGTATTCCAGAGATGCAGGGTACATCAAGTTGATTGTGGAGCTTTAATCCGCTGCCCCTGAGGCTGCTGGGAGAAATTTCCCTTTCTCGTCTTTGTTCGCACAGCTCCTGGGGTTCACAATAAAGCTTTGGATTTGGCCCTGCCTCTGCGTGTAGGTCACCTGAGGGCGTCTGTTCTTCGCTCAGACAGGACAGGGTTAAAGGAGCCGCTGATTGGGGGCTCTGGCTCACTCAGGCGGGGGGGGGGGGGGGGGGGGGGGGGGGCACGGAGTAGCGTGACGTTGCACCAGCCTGAGGCGCCGTGTGTTCTTCCGCGGAAGTTGTCCCTGGATCACGGGACCCTGGCAGTGGCGGGCTGCTTAGGCTCCCAGGAGGGGAGGGGAGGGCAGTGACCTGTGCTTGCACACAGGCTTCTTGGTGGCTCCAGCAGCAGCCTTAGCGTTTCATGCCCGTCTCTGGTGTCTGCGCTGATAGCCATGGCTCGCGCCCATATCTGGAGCTCGTTTAAGCGGTGCTCTGAATTCCCTCTCCTCACGCATCCGGAAACAGTGGTCTCTTGCCTCTTCGGCAGCTCCAGACTTTTTCCCGGACTCCCTCTCGGCTAGCTGTGGCGCACTAGCCCCCTTCACGCTGTGTTCACGCAGCCAACCCCAGTCCTCTCCCTGGGGTCTGACCTCCGAAGCCCGAGCCTCAGCTCGCAGCCCCTGCCCGTCCCGGCGGCTGAGCAGACAAGCCTCTCGGGCTGGTGAGTGCTCGGCACCGATCCTCTGTGAGGGAATCTCTCCACTTGCCCTCTGCACCCCTGTTGCTTCGCTCTCCTCCGTGGTTCTGAAGCTTCCCTCCCACCTCCCCGCCCAGCCCCCGTCTCCGCCAGTGAAGGGGCTTCCTAGTGTGTGGAAACTTCTTCCTTCACAGCTCCCTCCCGGAGGTGCAGGTCCCGTCCCTAATCTTTTGTCTCTGTTTTTCCTTTTTTCTTTTGCTCTACCCAGGTACGTGGGGAGTTTCTTGCCTTTTGGGAGGTCTGAGGTCTTCTGCCAGCGTTCAGTAGGTGTTCTGTAGGAGCTGTTCCACATGTAGATGTATTTCTGATGCATTTGTGGGGAGGAAGGTGATCTCCACGTTTTACTCCTCTGCCATCTTGAAGGTCTGTAACTTAAGTTGTATGACATTTTGTTCTCATTCTTGGATCACTTGCTCTGGGGGAAGCCAACTGCCCTGCTGGGGGCACACTCAGCAGCCCTATTGTGATCATCTTCTTTTCAAAATCATTTAATGTTATAAATTTCCTTTCAGGTACTGCTTTAGCTGTGTCACATGTGTGGTGTATTTATGTCACTCAGTTCTACATATTTTTGAATTCTAGAGAATATATACTTTGTAATGTTGGGTATCTTCTAGGTATGTCCATTAGATTAAATTGTGAATTACGTTGTTCAGAATTGTTAAAACTTCTTGATGAATTGATCTTCTTTATCTTAAGTAATGCTTTTTTGCTTTAAAATTTATTTGTCAGATATTAATATAGTTGTTGTTAGTGTTGGCCTGGTATTTTTTTCCATCTTTTTACTTCAAAACTTTTTGTGTCCTTATGATTTATGTCTCTCTTGTAAAACCTCATATAGATAAATTTACTTTTAATCTATCTTTGCTTTAACTGGGATTGTTTAATCCATTTACTATGATTACCGACATATTTGAATTTCCTTCTATGTGATTTTTATCTGTTCCACCTTCCCCACATGTATCTTTTTCTATCTTTTCTTGCCTCTTTTAAAGGGATTGAATATTTTTTCATTCCTTATTTCCCTGTAGTAACTTAGAAATCATACACTTTCTCTATTCTTTTAGTGTTTACCCTTGAAATTTTATTATCCATATTCAACTTTTCAAAGTCCCAAGGTAATCAGTGTAAACCACACCTGCCAATAAAAGACTGTAGAAGGGCTTCCCTGGTGGCGCAGTGGTTGAGAGTCTGCCTGCCGATGCAGGGTACACGGGTTTGTGCCCCGGTCTGGGAAGATCCCACATGCCGCAGAGCGGCTGGGCCCGTGGGCCATGGCCTCTGAGCCTGCGCATCTGGAGCCTGTGCTCCGCAACGGGAGAGGCCACAACAGTGAGAGGGCCGTGTACTGCAAAAAAAAAAAAAAAAGACTGTAGAAAACTTTGACTCCAATTATCTTCCTTCCAATTTATATGCTATTATTTTCATGCACTTTAATTCTGTCTTGTTTTATTTAAACCCCATAAGACATTGTCATTATTATTTAATCTAGTTATTGTTTTTTTAGAGTCACCCACGTATTTACCACTTTCTTTGCTAATTATTTTATCTGTGGTCTCAAAAAACAGATCATTTTCCTTCTACCTGCATTACAACCTTTAGAATTCCTGTAGTGTGTTGGCAAACTCAGTTTTTGTTTGAAATATTTTTGTTTCATTCTTGTTTTTGAAAGATAGCTTTACTAAATATATATTCTAGGTTTATAATTATTTTATTTGAGCATATAAATATATTATTGTTTTCTGGCTTCCATTGTTCCTTCTGAAATGTCAGCTGTAAATCTAATAATCTTTCTTTTGAAAGTAGTGACTTTCTGTCTGCTTTTAAGACAGTGTTTTTGTCTTGGGTGTTCTGCAGCTACACTGTGCTGTTTCTAAAGGTGGGTTTCTTTTCTCTTTTTTTTTTTTGGCCACACTACTTGCAGAATCTTAGGTCCATGACCAGGGATCAGCAGTGAAGGTGCAGTGTCCTAACCACTGGACCACCAGGGAATTCCTAAAGGTGGGTTTCTTTTTTAAAAAAATTATTTTATTGACATATACAGCAAAGTGATTTAGTTATACATATTTATGCATTCTTTTTCATATGCTTTTATATTATGGTTTATCACAGGATATTGAATATAGTTCCCTGTGCTATAGAATAGGACCTTGTTGTTTATCCATTCTCTATAGGATAGTTTGCATCTGCTAATCCCAGACTCTCAATCCATCACTCCCCTCCCCCTCCCTTGGCAACCACACGTCTGTTCTCTATGTCTGTGAGTCTGTTTCTGTTTTGCAGATAAGTTCATTTGTGTCATATTTTAGATTCCACAAATAAGTGATATTTGTCTTTCTCTTTCTGACTTACTTCACTCAGTATGATAATCTCCAGGTCCATCTATGTTGTTGCAAATGGCATTATTTCATTCTTTTTTATGGCTGAGTAGTACTCTATTGTGTGTGTGTGTGTGTGTGTGTGTGTGTGTGTGTGTATACACACACATATATATATATACACTACATCTTCTTTATCCATTTATCTGTCGATGGACATTTAGCTTGCTTCCATGTCTTGGCTACTGTAAATAACTATGCCACATTCTTGAATATCATCTAGTTTAAAGGTTCCTCAGTTCTGTTTACTTTTTCCCCATCTCAACTTTGAAGAGCTTTACCCCCAAAGCTCACTTTTAGTCTTAATAACTTCTCACTAAACTGTGCTTTCACTGTTATCCATTCAACCTTCTTCTGGGTTGTTGGAATCCTAGACCTTGTGCCTGTAACATGCTTTGTGTGGAGTTTAAGCTAAACCACAGATGAGCCAGTCAAGTTTAGGAGCTTTTCTAGGATCTGTGTCCTTTAGCTATTTCACTTCTCATTTGAACTTACAGATTCTTGAAAAGTCCAAGGATTTTCACAAAAGTCTCTTATAAAAAGACATGTAGAACCTATCAAAAAAGGGATTAAGAAAGAGGTGGGGGTGACATGAGGACTGCTCTTTTTAAGGCAGGTACTTATAAGTTGAGTTTTTCTTATGTAGGCATTATTTCAAGCAGTAGTGTTTGTGTCCAATATTGGGCTCACAGATGAAGCCTGAGACAGAGAATTTGACAAGGACAAAAGAGAACAACAATGTTAGAAAATGTGAAGAGTAAAACTAGTGTTAAGAGGGCCTAATAACAAATTTATTCCTGACTATAAAAAGACAATTTAATGATTCCATTGAGGACCAAATGGGAAAAGACAGCAATTGCTTTAGAAAGGATTTAGTCTGGATATTAGGAAGACCGTTCTGACAACTAAAAGATATTGGATGCTGGAATTCATTTTCAGAAAAATGGTGAGATCTTCTCTGGAGATATTTAAAGAGAGTACAATCTGCTCTCTTTTCAAACTGCTTGAAGGTGGTTCATTCATTCATTCTACACATATATAATGAGTGGCTGTGTTGTTCTGGATGCTATTCTATGCACAAGGGATACAGCTCTCAAAAAGTAGGAATGAACTCTTTGTCATAGGACTTACATTACAGAGGTGGTGATGGTGGGGGAAATGGATAATGAATAAATGACAAAGCAGTTTCAGATGATACTTGCTATAAAGCAAGATAATTAATAAGAAATGACTAGAGACCTACTTTTAGATCAGGTGGTGATGGAAGGCATTTCTGAAGAGGGGATGTATGAAATGACACATGAAAGACAGGAAAGAGGCATCTCGCATGGATCCATGGAGGAGCAGTCCAGTGAATGGAACAGTGGATGCAAAGGTCCAGAGGTAGGAACAAGTTGGGCAGGTTTATGGAACGAAAAGAAGGCCTGTAAGGCTGAAGCATAGTAAGCAAAGATGGGGAGAATAGTTGGAGATAAGGTCAAAGAGGTAGAATAAACTAAATCAGGAAGAGCCTTCAAGATATTTGGATTTGATTCTAAGAGAAATGGGAGGCCGTAGGAAGGTTTTAAGCAGGGGAGTACTGTGATATGGTTTATATTATTGAAAAATGTATTCTGGCTGTTGTGTGAATAATGCATTAGAAGAATGATAGAATAGAAGCAGGGAAAACCATTTAGGAGACTGCTGTGGAGGTCCAGGTGGAAGACGATGGTGGCTTGGCCAATGATGTTAGCAGCAGATGTAAAGAGAATTAGACAGATCCAAAGATTTTTTCCAATACATTGGTTCTATGATTTTCAGAGGAAATTAATTTTTTATTTCAAAAAGAAAAATAATGTAGGCATGCAAGAAACACAAACGTTTAACTTTTAGTGCCTATGATTTCACAATGGCTTGTACACTTAACATTGTTTGCGGATGGGAAAGGCATTCTTTAAAACGAGAGCACTGATGAAATCAGTGTCATACTGGTGTTATGGAATGGTCTCGATGGAGATGCATTCTCTGGTTTGTACATTGACAAAGACCCTTTTCTTCTTCTCAGTCCTCTGCAGTCATAGCATGCTTATTAGTGATAAGGCTAGAAAGATAATTTATGGCACATCATGCAGAACCTTGTATGATAGGCTAAGGACACCATATTTTATTTTGTAGGGGGAGTCATGGAAGATTTTTCTGAACAGAGGAATACTTATGATTAAAAACTTTTGTTAAAAATGTTAATTTGGTAGGCTTCCCTGGTGGCGCAGTGGCTGAGAGTCCGCCTGCCGATGCAGGGGACACGGGTTTGTGTCCCGGTTCGGGAAGATCCCGCATGCCGTGGAGCAGCTAGGCCTGTGACCCATGGCCTCTGAGCCTGCGCGTCCGGAGCCTGTGCTCCGCAACGGGAGAGGCCACAACAGTGAGAGGCCTGCGTACCGCAAAAAAAAAAAAAAAAAAGTTAATTTGGTAAATAATGGATCAAAGCAGAGAGATCCTGGAGATAAGAGAATCACTTATAAAACTCGTGCAATTACATAGGAAAGAAGTGATAAGGCTTGGGCTTCCCTGGTGGCGTGGTGGTTAAGAATCTGCCTGCCAATGAAGGGGACACGGTTCGAGCCCTGGTCCAGGAAGATCCCACATGCTGTGGAGCAACTAAGCCCAAGCGCCACAGCTACTGAGCCTGCGCTCTAGAGCCTGTGAGCCACAACTACTGAGCTCACGAGCCACAGCTACTGAGCCCCTGTGCCGCAATTACTGAAGCTCACGCACCTAGAGCCCATGCTCCGCAACAAGAGAAGCCACCGCAATGAGAAGCCCGCGCACTGCAATGAAGAGTAGCCCCCGCTCACCGCAACTAGGGAAAGCCCACGCGCAGCAACCAAAACCCAACGCAGCCATAAATAAATAAATAAATAAGTTAGGAAAAAAAAGAAGTAATAAAGCTTTACTTTAGACTAAAATAGAGATACAGGCGGGAGAGGGAGGAACTGATGAGATGAGAAACATTTTGGAGGCTGACTTACAGCCTTCAACACAACTTACAAATGGAACTGATTGGAATTAGTAAGTGGAAGAGAAGTAGGCAAAGGTTGTTTCTGAGATTTTGAATCGAATGACTAGGATGCTGTTAAGAGAAAGTGGAGTACAGAAAAGGAGATGGTTTGGGGCAAGAAGAAATAATAATTCACAATGATGAGAATTTACTTAACATTTCTGAACTGTACGCTTAAAATGGTTAAGATGATAAGTTTTATGTTATGTATCTTTTTACCACAATTTTTATGAAAAAAGAGGAAACAAAATAAAGGAAAGAGTAATAAAGGCAAGCTATTCTGTGTCAGCAACAGCAATCTGCCAAAGGACAGTCTGGAGAGACAGAGAAGAATGCCTTAGTTTGGTGAATTATAGGGCAAGTCAAGGTGACCGATGGTGATTATTCAGCTTAAGTCCTGCAAGAGTGAAACATGGTATCTAATGACCATATCAGCCTGTCCAAAAGCCAGCCCTCCAAGAAACCCTGTGGGGTTTTATTTTGCTCTGGACTTTTGAAGAAATATGTTTCATATTTTTAAAAAATAAGCACCAAGCAATACACAAAGCTGTCCTTACTCAAGTGATCATACCTCTGCCAATGTGCTAGAGGAAGAGTGATGAAATGACACCTCACCTATGGCTTTAAGTGGCTTCTTGCCTAGCCACTGCCTGTATTGTTTAGCTACCCAGGTTTTTTGAGCACCAGCCTGGATGGCTCCCTGTGAGGGTGTTTTTTTGGTGTGTTTCCCACTAGTCATGGTTATCCCTTCCTTATCTGTCATTCCCTAGTCTCTCTCTCTCTCTTTTCTTTTTTTTTGTAATTCAGCCATATTGAGGTATAATTGACAAATAAAATTGTAAGATATTTAAAATGTACGTCTTGATGATTTGACATACATATGAAAGGCTTCCTTGAATTCGTTAATTAACACATCCATCACCTCACATAGTCATCTTTTTTGTGTGTGGGAGTACACTTAAGTTCTACTCTCTTAGCAAATTTCAATTATACAATACAGTGTTATCAACTTCTACCCCACCCCAGCTTCCTATCACATTTTATAAGCAACCACTGATCTTTCTATCACTATAGATTAGTTTTCATTTTCTAGAATTTTATATAGATGGAATCATATACAGGATGTACTCTTTCTCTCTGTGTTATTTTATTCAGTATAATGTTTTTGAGGTTCTTCCAAGTTGTTCATTAATCAACAGTTCGTTTCTTTTTTTTTTGCTGAGTAGTATCCCATTGTATGAATATACCACATTTTGTTTACCCATTTACCTGTAGATGGTCATAAGGATTGTTTCCAGTTCTTAGTTTTTACAAAGAAAGCTGCTATTAACATTTAATACAAGTCTTTGTGTGCACATGTACTTTCATTTATTTGGGGTAAATACTTAGAAATGGAATGACTGGTTCACATGGTAGGTGCAGCTGAACATTTTAAGAAACTGACAAACTTTTCCAAAGTGGTTATATCATCTTACATTTCTACCAGCAGTGACCATTTTACATTTCTTCCAGCTACCTGGGAACACTGACAACACCAAATGCTGGTGAAGGTGTAGAGCAGCAGGAACTCTCATTCATTACTAGTAGGGATGCAAAATGGTACAGTTACACTGAAAGACAAATTGGCAGTTTCTTACAAAACTAAACATACTCTTACCATATGATCCAGCAACCCAAAGGAACTGAAAACTATGTCCACACAAAAACCTGCATACAGATGTTTATAGCAGCTTTATTCATAACTGCCAAAACTTGGAAGCAACCAAGATGTCCTTCAATAGGTGAATGGATAAATAACTGTGTTACATCCAGACAATGGAATATTATTCAGCTTTAAAAAGAAATGCACAATCAAGCCATAAAAAGGCATGGAGGAACCTTAAATGCATATTACTAAGTAAAAGAAGCCAATCTGAGAAGGTTACATGCTGTATGCTTCCAACTATATGACATTCTGGAAAAGGCGAAACTATGGAGACTAAAATCAGTGGTTGCCAGGGATTGGAAGGGAGAGATGAATAGGTGGAACACAGAGGCTTTTTAGGGCAGTGAAATTACTCTGTATGATACTATAATGATGGATACATATCATTATACATTTATCCAAACCCATAGAAATCCTGGAGTGAACCCTAATGTAAACTGTTGAGTTTGGGTGATTATGATGTGTCAATGTAGATTCATTTATGTAGATTCATCTCCGATCTGATGGGAGATGTTGATAATAGGAGAGCCTATGCATATGTGGGGACAGGGGCGTATGGGAAATCTCTGTACCTTCCTTGTAATTTTGTTGTGAACATAAACCTGCTCTTAAAAAAATATTTTAAAAAATCACTTAAAAAAAGTTAGAAGACAGCCTATTCTTAGAAGTAGAAGTAGGTATTAGAAGTTGATATGGGCAGAGGTGGATTTCCCATAAGACTAAATTAGAGCCCCTTGAACTGCCATATGTTTTTGTAAAATTTATAAAAATAAGACATTTTTGTATTCTTCTTCTTAGATGGCTCCCCAAATTGTATAAGCTATAGGACACAGAAAATCTAGATCAGTCCAAGATATAGGGGATGGGATCCTTTATCCTGAGTGTTCTTTTTTGAAACTAGCTAAACCATACCTTTCCTGGGAAAGGGGGACTTAGGTTCTAATCAGTGAAAACCTTCAAGATCATTGAATGAACTTGTTATCCTTTTTAGTTTAAGATAAACTAAAAAAGTTTAAAAATTTTAAACATTTATATTCCCAATATAGTTGGGATCTCTCCCAACTATGACAATATAAAGCTATCATCTGTATGTTGGGTGTTCTTAGTCTGTCTTTAATATTTGTCACTTTCTGGGAATTCCCTGGTGGTCTAGTGGTTAGGACTCTGCATTCTCACTGCCAAGTGCCCTGGTTTGATCCCTGGTTGGGGAACTAAAGTCCCACAAGGTGCGCAGTGTGGCCAAAAATATATATATGTTTGTCACTTTCTCTTTGATATTTTAAATTTCCTTTTGGTTTTTAAAATTTCCCTCTTTTTCACCTTCTATTTCTCTTAAGGTGTTATCTGTTATGTTTGTTCACTCTGGTGTTCCTGGTTGTTCAGTCTTTGTTTCTGAATTTTTTTCTTTTATTTCTAATTCTTTCATGAGTTCTGTCACTTTATTTCTGAGTATTTCTATTTCTGATTTCTAGTATTCTTTTATGTCTTGTATCATTTAAAAATGTTTTTTGGTTTGTTTTGAAGCAGAATATAATAGCTTTAATATGTTCTGGTGTGCTTTCATTTTCATTGTCTGTAAAAGTGTTATCTGCTTCTCATTCTCCTTATAATAACTTTTATTGGATTTAATCTTTAAAAAATAATTTTTATAATAATAACTCACCTTTATTGAGTGCTTTCTATTCAATATATGCCAGACATTGTCCTAAATGCTTTATCTTTTTTTAAAATTTATTTATTTATTTATTTATTTATGTCTGCGTTGGGTCTTTGTTGCAGTGCCTGGGCTTTTTCTAGTTGCAGCGAGTGGGAGCTACTCTTCGTTGCGGTGCGTGGGCTTCTCATTGTGGTGGCTTCTCTCGTTGTGGATCACGGGCTCTAGGCGTGGGGGCTTCAGTAGTTGTGGCACTCAGGCTCAGTAGCTGTGGCACGTGGGCTCTAGAGCACAGGCTCAGTAGTTGTGGTGCATAGGCTTAGTTGCTCCACAGCATGTGGGATCTTCCCGAACCAGGGCTTGAACTGGTGTCCCCTGCATTGGCAGGTGGATTCTTAACCACTGTGCCACCAGGGAAGCCCTACTGGATTTAATCTTGATACTTTTCTGTTACTTATTTTTATGGGATGTTGGTTTTCCTGAAGTTTTACAAGATAAGTGTGTAGTGTTTCAAAATATGGTGTCTTACTTTCTGCAACTTCCTGACATTGTTCCCTTCCCCAACTTGATCTGACCT